TAAACTGCAGAGGAGTGAAGGAGTAAAGTAGGCAGTCTGGTTTTAGAAAATTAGAAAAAAGAAGAATGGCAATTGAGAAAATTATTAAAATGTCTTTAGGGGTATGGGAGTGGTGGAGCATTTTCCAACACAAGGATAAGAGGACCAACAAGAAGAAAGAAAAAGCATGATTCGTAGAGAGCTTTCAAATGCTGATCTTGGAGTTTTTACCTTCCAAAAAAAAGATGTTTTGTGTGTTAGAAAAGCTCAAAAAGAAAGCAACTTCACTTTCATCTCTTTCCTTTTTTAGCGTGTCTGTGATCTCAACTCTGGAGGATTTCATTTCAGCGCTTTTGAAATCATGTTCCCATTCCCTTTTCTGCTTTGCTTCCTTCCTGCATGCATGTGCGCAGGTTACACGCTTGGCTACAACACAGATTTGCTGATAGAAATCCAGAAGCTAGCACAGAGGTTCCGAGGAACACATTTACCCAGGGACAGGCCACAAAAGAAGAAGGACATGTTAGTGGATCTCTGCGAGACACGCAAGCTAACAAAAATGAATTGAATTAAATGCTAAAATGCATCTCTGTTGTTCCTTAATGCCATTAGAGAAATTTACTGAATATTGCATCAGCCGTTACCTCTGACTTTAACCTCATTGACCTCTTGGTCGCTTCATGATAAAAATCACCCTTCCTTCCTCATCCATTTTAAACCCTTCCCCTTCTCCGATTGTAATTCACTTAAAGGGTTAGATTGTTTATCATCCCATCTGAAGCTGCAAACCACCTCCCTCCATCTTTTACCTTTTATGCCATCCCTCCCCCCTTCTGTTGCCTGCCTGCCTCAGTGCTCTTCATTTTCCTTTTCTAATTTCTTGCGAAGGCTCCTCGACATTTTTCTGGGTAATTAAAAAGAGAAGAGGGAGATTGGAAGGAGGAAGAGGAAAGGAGGTGTGGAATGAAGAGAGACTGAGTCTGAAAGGCTCTGTTGTTAGGGATGAAACAGAAGAGGAATGTATATGTTCTTGCATCCTGAGCTGAGGTAATGATGGACGACTTGTGAGATACAATTGGCCCAAATTAGTGACTGTCATCACAGCAGCCAATCAGAGAGCCAGAAATCCTTCCCATCATCTTTTCGTTGCTTTCTTCTGCCTTTTTTCCTGTCTAATTGCTCATTAAGCAGTTTACGGTGCCTCGCAAAATTACTCCCCAAACATTCTCACATTTTGTTAGATTAGAGCCACAAACGTCAATGTATTTTATTGGGATTTCATATAATAGGACATAGAGTAGGTCACCACTGGTACTTAGAAGGAATATTCAGATGATTTGTTTTTTAAGCATCTGAAAAGTGTGGCATATATTTGTTTTCAGCCCCCTGTAAATACAGCTGCAAATCTGAAGTATGTGTCTGTTTTTGGACATCTAGGGTCTGAAACGTTTCCCTTGTCTTTTTGACAACATTGTTCTAGCTCAGTCAGTTAGATGTGATTTAGAGTGTCTATGAACAGCAATGTTCAGGTTTTGCCACAGATTTTTAATTGGATTTAAGGTTAGACTTAGATTGGGACATTCTAACACATGAATATCATTTGCTGTGAACTTTTCCATAGTGTCTCTGGCTGTATGTTTATGATCATTGTTCTGCTGGAAGGGGAAACTGCACCCCTGTTCCAAGTCTTCTTAAGAAGACTCTAACAGTTTTTTCTTCCAGTATTGCCCTGTAGCCCCATCCATATTTTGTAACCAGCTTCCCTGTCCCTGCTAAAGAGCAACATCCCCACAGCATGATGTTGCCACCATAATGTTTCATTTCACAGATGGTGCGTGTTGGGTGTTCTTAGTGCTTGCAAACCAAACTGTTTAATTTTGGTGTTTTTTGACAAGAGCACTATCTTTCAGATGTTTGCAGTTTTCTCTCCAGGACTTGTTGCAAACTTTCAACAGCACTTCTTATGGTTTTCTTTCAACAATAGCTTTTTTCCTGTCACTCTCCCAAAAAGGCCATTTTTGCAGACCCCCGCCCCCCCTCAACCTCTGCAGAAATCTGGCATCACCCATATGTCTGTTTTCAAAAGACAACATCTAGAAATTAAGCTGAAAATGTGCACTCAACATCTTTGGTTAACCATGGCGATGCCTGTTTGACTGGAACCTGTCCTGGTAAACAGCTGTATGGTTTTGGCCACCGTGCCGCAGCTCAGTTTCAGGGTGTTGCCAGTCTTCTTACAGCCTAGGGCGTCTATATGTAGAGCAGTTCTTTGCGATGACGTACCATGTTGAACTTCCAGTGACCAGTATGAGAGAGTTAGAACACCAAATTTAACCAAGCTGTTTAATATTCACACCTGAGACCCTCTAAAACGCTAATATGACATCTGTTGAAGAAAATTGCTAATTGGGTAATATTTGTACATTTTCACTTAGGGGTTTACTCACTTTTGCTGCCAGTGGTTTAGACATTAATATCTATGTGTTGAGTTATGTTGAGGGGACAATAAATAGACTGTTTTACAAGCTGTACACTGAGAACTTTACATTGTGTCAAAGTGTCATATCTTCAGTGTTCCCCCATGAAATGATAAAAGAAAATTGTTACAAAAATGTGAGGGGGTACTCAGTTTTGCAAGATACTGTGTTCACAGCTAAATGAAAGTACAAAATACATACGTCCGTGGTAATAAAGTGACAAAGCATTGAAAGCTTCAGAGGTGTGAATACTTTTAGATTCTTTGAATGTATTTTTCCCGTTTATCCCTTCATTCCTGCAGTATTATCCCTAATTCTCTGCCACTTCTGCCTCTTTTGCAACATCATGTGCAAACACAGCCATTATAAGGCTGTGAAATCTACTGTGAATCTCAAAAGCGCTAATGATCGAACAAGCACTTAAATAGTACATCTCTCAAACAAACGCACGCACACACACACACACACACACACACACACACACAAACACACGCATATACTCACAACCACACTGAAAGTGTCACCAGGGCTGAAAAACGTTCTCGAGAATATATATGTAATTAAATCCAAAATGCCTCTTGTAAATGCAGGCATGTAAAATTAATGAATTGCATGTTTGTACATTGGAGTAAATTTATGCAAATGCTATGGAATATAAGAGTAATTACAGTGAAATCATAGTGCTGATCGCATTATAATTATGTCCTTTCTCTCTTCCTCTATGTCTTTGTCGCTACTGGTTGGGTTGCAACTTCATCATGTAGGTGAGTGATTTCCTCTGTGTGGTTTATTGCTGTTTTTACATCCCCAACAAGTCTATTAAATTCATTAAAACAACCAACAGAGTCAGTTCAACATATTTTATCATTTTGAAACCCATGTATGCATTACTTATTAGGAACGGTACCACTGTTAGAGATGTATTTGTGACTTTTTATGCAAAACACAAGGAAATCATTTACAGCCCACATAATGTTTTGATATTTAGTCCCTTGGAATAGTATTCAAACCCTTTGAACCTTTTGACATTTTGTCATATTACAACTACACACTTCAGTTTATTTGAAGCTATAGTTTTTACAAACTATAGCAGAAATGCATATCACACAATTTTAATTTTTAGATGTTCAAGGTAAAATTAAACCATGGGTCATTTTCCTTCTGTTTCACAGCTAAGCGCTTTGTGTTGATCCATCACATAGATTCTCATAAATTGCACTGAAGTCTGCAGTTGTAATGTGTCAAAATGTGGACAAATTTAAATGATGTGAATACTTTTGCAAGGCATTGTAAACTGACAGAAAGACACCACAGTGGTGGACAACAAAAATACACACTATAGCTACAAGAGTGTGAATGTGTTTTCTCTATGTGTGAGTGACAGAAGTATGAGGTAAAAAAGAGGGTAAAAAGAAAAAAGGGACAAGCAGAGAGTGATCCAAATAAAAGCTGGCTGTGTGAATAAAGGGCTCTGCAGATTACCATTGAGGAACATGCCTTTTCAGATGTTCCTCCTCCTGCTCTGCTTGTCCCTCTAAGGGCTCCCGTAACAGGCCTTATCTTGGAGCCACGCATGGCTACTCATCTTTGACACTCTGAATATTCACCACATTTTAACACACACACACACACACACACACACTTAAGCACTCTTCCACACATGCGCCTCCCCATTACCCACAGCAAATGCCTAAATGCTGCATGTTCTGGGCTCTTCAAAAGACTACGGTTGGACAACGGTGCGATTTGACACCGCAAAGGCATTGTGGGATGGAAAGAGTGGCTATGAGGGACACTAGTGAGGGCTGCATTAGAGATAGGGCCATCATGTGCCAGCATGGATTAGGAATGTGGTGAATTTTCACTATTTGTGGATGAGTGAGATGCGCGTGCGCTTGTCTATCAGCGGGAGATGTTGCCTGATTTGGTCAATTTTGGCACAGTGAGGAGGGCAACCGTACAGGATGTTATGTTGGGGCATCTATAAGGTCATGCCAAGAAAAACAAGATGTTGTTGGTAGCCTATCACAATAAACAAATAAAAAAAGTGTCTCTGAAAAACATAAATTGACGATTTTAATTAAGTCTTATTGTTTATTCCATATTTAACACAAATTAGATTTTTCCTTTGGTTATTGATTTTGTTTAATATTTCCTATAATTAAACAAATAGCAATAACATGAAGGAAAAAAAATCATTAATTTAAAAAATCTTTAATTTAATGTTTCGTGGCAGCACCTTTTGCAGTAATGACTGCCAACAAGTAGTTTGACTATACTTTTCATGAGCAAACTGCCCAAGGTCTCCCAGATTTGATGGGTAGCACCTCCACTCTGCAATTTTCAGATCTTTCCATAGCTGTTAAATAGGATTACAATCTGGGCTGATGAAGGCAATTCAGAATAGAACAAAGTTGTTTCGTCAGTTATTCTTCAGTGTTTTAGCTGTATGTATTGGTCACTTTCCTGCTAGAGGACCTGGAAAAATATATTTTTGTTTAATCAGTCTAAGGGATATTTTCCACAAAACGTTTTGCTTGGGGCTGCACGGTGGCACAGTTGATAGCACTGTTGCCTTGCAGTGAGAAGGTCCCAGGTTCAATTCCTGGCTGGGGGTCTTTCTGCATGGAGTTTGCACGTTCTCCCCGTGCATGTGTGGGTTCTCTCTAGGTACTCTGGCTTCCTCCCACAGTCCAAATGCCAAAGGCATGCCTGTTAGGTTAATTGGTCTCTGTAAATTGCCCTTAGGTTTGTGAACGAGTGTGTGCTTGGTTGTTCGTGTGTTGCCCTCTGATAGACTGGCGACCCCGCCTCTCGCCCATAGACTGTTGGAGATAGGCATCAGCTTCCCCGCGACCCACTATGGAAGAAGCCGCAGAAAATGACTGACTTCCAGTCTGGTGTACTTGTTTTTCTGCCATAAGTGGGTCTTCTTCCATGAAACTCATCATGGTTCAAAATACAAAGATTGGTGCGATCAAATAGTGACATAACTTGTCCTTGGAAAGTAATGAATAGTTTTGAATGCATTCCATCTATCTGATCAACTGGGGGTTATTTTTTCTCTTGTGTACATGTGCAAAGAAATTGACTCTTATGGGGTCTTTTGTGCAGAGGTCAATATCCATCATAGAGATCCAAGAAAGGAACAGTGGTAAAACAGCAACAGGGTCATGGAAGTCACTGAAGGTTGACCCCTGTGTTCTGATCCACCAGATGAGCTGCTGTAGCTCAGATTCCTGAAGAACTGATGGCTGGTTCTGGGTATTAATGTAAATAAAGACCTCTGACCACCACTAAAAGCACCAACAATAAGTAATTGAGCATCGGAACTGGAACAGGGGAAGACGGTGGCCTGATCCAATAACCCAGGCTTTCTTTAACATCACATGGATGGCCAGCTATGTCACTTACCTAGGGAGACATGGCACCAAGAACCAATGTGATGGTTTGGGCAATGTTTTGTTAGGAAACATTGGGGCATGCAAAGCAAAAATGGTTCAGGAATGGTTTAAAGAGCACTACAAGTTTGATAGGTTGGCTCCAAAGTCTCCAAAGTCCCCAGATCTCAGTCCCATTGAGCACCTTGGGGATGTGCTGGATAAACAAGTCTAATCTATTTTTACTCCACCTTGTAACTTACAGTGTTCTAAAGCTATGTTGTTATATATTTTTTACACTCAATAGCAGCATAGCCAAGCTGTTTTGCTGAAGTTTTGGTCCAAAAAAACCCAGATTGATTTATCTAAGAACAAGTAGAACCTGTTTAGATCAACCAATTAGTGTATTAGGTAATTCTTACCTCCAAAAATCAACTTAACTGATATATTGGCACATGCTTAATTTAGTTTCTCTAGGTCGACTCTCCACCATAAATGGGAAATATTTCTCATAGAATAATGCCTTTTTGTTTAACGTCATGTTTACTGCCTGTTTTTAATGGTGAAAATGGCATATTCTACAGTAACAAATGTGGCCCTGTTGGCTGAATAAATGGTCCATTAACTGACATTTAGTCTGTAGGAAGCAGTTAAACCTTTCATGGCAATATAATTTTTGTGTTATTTATTCATTTTGTTATACATACACAATCTTCTTTATGGTTTCCTTAAAAAACTATTGTAATTATTTTTTGTAGATTAATTTTTTTTGATCTAACTTAAAACTCTTTTGCTAAAACAAGAAACAACATTGTTTTTGACAAAGGGTTCCTGTTATCAGTGCTGATTGGTGTCTGTAATCAAAAGATATCTGCTTGGTAGTCACATCAGCTTGATTTTATATAAAAATAACATTTAAATATTATTTATGCTGTTTCTTAAGGATCATTTAAAGTAAATATCCTATCCGCCAAAGCAAAAAGTAAAACATAAGGCTTAATACCTTTTTTAAATTTATTGAAATATTGGATTATCAGAATTTAGAAAACAAATATTATGATATATTTTTTTGTCAAAATTAAACACTCCTATTCTGAGCACCACTAAAGGCTAAGTACCACCACAGACACTTGTAACCCAGTTTCAGAACCACATTTATTTTTAATTTATTCTCTTTATGAGCTGTAAGGAAACCAACAAATTTGTCTCAAAACCAAACCTGATGAATAAATAGAAAACATCCTAACTTTTCTTTGGCTGTTATTTCAGAGCATTTAGTGAAAAACAACTTTCAAACATATTTTTTGTCCTTGTTTGTCTTCACCTGTTGGACAGTCTAACCTGAGGGAGCCTCTTTTGTCTTTTTCTCTTTTTTAATCTACAAATTCAGGATCTGATGTAACGCCTCTAAAATAATTTGGAGGACCATTTCTGTGTTGTCTTCTCTTACCTTTCATAGCAATGTTTTGGTTGATTGAAACTCGTGAAGGTTTTTCTGACAGTAGGTGACTTTTGTACAGTTTATTTTAATTCAGTTTGTGCATCAACAAACTGTATATATTAGGATTTCAGCTGAATATTGTAGTCTGAGAAAAAAAAAAACAATGCTATTTGTGTCCTTTTGAGCACTGTTGCATCACTGACCTTGCCCTGAGACATCAGAAATGTATAGATCTTCCTTTAAATCCTTTCTCTCTCTCAAATCAATAGGCTAATGGTGAATACAGGACCTTGGCTATAGTTGTGTGTCTACATATTTGTGCGTGTGTGTGTGTGTGTGTGTGTGTCAGTCTGTTAGGTATTAGTCTCTTAAGGCATACTGGGTATCTCCCTGTGGCGAAAAAAGGGGAATTCGGAATGTGTCTTAATTGGAGAATTTTCCCATTTCTTCCAATTCTTTTTTACACTCTGTGAGCTGTAAAAAGCAAAGAGCTACCCTGAGCTCTGCCACTGTGGAAATATCTAAACTTTCTTAGACTTCCACACAGTTGCAGAATAACACACTGATATTCTGTTGCGTTTCAGTCAGCATGTTCCTGCTGCGGTGTGAAGAATTTGCGTATTGGTGCTCCTCTGTGGAGTCCTCTTTCTTTCATCCAGTACACACTCACACACACACACACACACACACACACACAAACACACACCTTCAGAGGATTTACTACGCCGTGTTAGATATTTGCTTTGTCCAACATCTTGGCAATAATACAAAAGCTCTGGGAATATCCACCGACCATTTCTGGAATTGGTTCTATCGCTCTTTTTCTTCAGAGCTAACACGTTATTTTGCCCCTTCTCTATTTTCGCTCACTCTCCCGCTCGTTTGCCGCCTAGGTTCCTGTCCCTTAGGTGAGTGAAGAAGTTTGGTGCACTTTCCCTCCATCTAGGCGTCCCAGTTTAGGACAGAAAATCAGACAGAGTTATACATATTAGATCAGGGGACCAGGGGAACCAAATTACCTTCTCCTGTGGTTCCCAATCTTTTTCCCAACCTCCTATCCTGTTTTTATGCTCCTCTGCTCCACCTTTCTATTCCCATACAAATTTAAATGCTACCGTCCTCTTCTTTCTTGCTGTTACTCAATTTATCCTTGTCCTTTACCTTATCAACATGTGTTGCGTTAAGGCATCTTGATGACTCAACAAAATCCTACTTTAAATATGAAAATTACCAGAAAAATAATTTTCTGGTTGGTTTTACATGTAATTTCTACCTATACTTTTTTCACTATAACTCGTATTTTGATTTTCCTAAAATTATTTTTATAAATTGCCTTGCAAAGTGAAAAGTTCGGCTTACCAACCCACAACCCAAAAATCTATTTTTGTTGCTCCAATTAAAACTTCTCTACCAGCTTTGCACACCTAGAGATTTGAACTTTTGCCCTTTCTTCTTTGCTAAATAGCTCAAACTTATTTGCCATATTCTATTATGAATCCTCAGTTGGTTTTAGGTCTGGACTTTTTCTTGTCCATTCATACACATGAATATGCTGTGATCTAAACCATTCCATTGTAGCTCTGGTCGTATCTGTAGGGTTGTTGTCCTGCTGGAAAGTGAACATTCGGCCCAGTCTCAAGTCTTTTGCAGACTCTAATAGGTGACTCTAACCAGCTTCCTGATCAGAGCTGACAAAAAAGCCTCCCCACATCATGATGCTGCCACAACCGTGTTTCACCATGTGGATGTCTGTAAATAGGCTACAATCTTCAATTTTGGTCTCTGCTAACTAGAACAACTCCTTCTGTGATTTGCTGCGACCCCTACATGGCTTATAGCAAACTTGAAGCAGGACTACTTATGGATTAGATTTGTTCTTGCCAAAATGTATGGATAGATTTGTGAGTGCCCAGCCTATCAGTTTAGGTGGATGGCAATGTATGGTAGGTTTGCAGTTGCACCATGCTCCTGCCATTTTTGAAAGATTGAACAGTGCTATGTGAGACGTTGAAAGCTTGGGATATTGTTTTATAACCTGACCTGTAAGGTTTAAACTTTCCACAACTTTCTCCCTGATCTGTCTGCTGTGTTTCATGATACTGTCTTCATGATACTGTTGGTTCAGTAATGTTCTCTAACAAACCTCTGAGGCCTTCACAGAACAGCTGTTTTTTTACTGAAACTATATTACACCCAAGTGGACTTGATTTACTAATTCAGCGATTTCTAGAATTCATTTATAGGTATCAAAGTAAAGTGTGCCTCAACTAATTTGCACGGCACACTGTTTATATTAAGAAAATTATAAACCCTGTGTTATTTTGCTTCCAATTGAGTTATGCAGTAGTTTGTGCTTGTCTGTCAAACAGAACTCCATTTGGAAACAATGGGAGAGGTTTCGGGGGGTATGAATATTTTGCAAGGCACTGTAAAAAGTAAAATATCCTTCATTTTTAGATATTTTCAACACTTTTACTTCATCTATCCCTCCATCCCGCCACCGCCCCTTCCTCCTTCCTTTAGTGATCCCATCTTGCTTGGAAAATGAGAAGCTTGACTTTTACCTCTCAGTGGCTCGAACTGACACATGGGCAGTAAGCCAGGACATTGCCTTGAAAAGATGTGCTATCCATTTGATTTAGTATCTTTGCTTACATCGTTGTGTTTCTTTGTGTTGTGAATCTGTCACATCTGCAGCACTTCTTTCAACAATTTGTTTTGATTAGAGCTGTATTTTAACCTAATTAACTCTGCATGTGAGGAATGAAATGTGGAGAGGCTGCATACTGCCCCTCTACTTCTGCAT